TACTATGTACACTGCGTTCTATGAGTTGCTCCTCGAAGTCAAGTCGCAACTGTATTAACGGTGTTAAGAAAAAGGAAACAAACTTGCAAGAGGTTTTCATCTTGCGAAGCAAGCCCATAGGGAAATTCGTCTTGCGAAGCAGCTCAAAAACCGGAAAACCCTTTTGTCTAGCGAATTTTCCGTCTTGCGAGGCATTAGTCTTGCGGGGCACCACTGTAATGTTGAATAGATGATCTCACAAACTCTACCAAAACAGAAAGGTCCTTTTCAATAACTATGGGTGTAAATGTGCCAAGGAGGTGCATAAACCACCATCCTCTTTTTGAGTCAAGTATAAAATCCTTTAGGTTGTTAGAGCCAAAGGAGCATCTGGACCTGTGTACTATTGGAGATAATCTTAAAAGGAAAGCCCCCGTGAGTTTTTGAATGAAAGAACCTTTAAACGACTATGTATTAGACAAAAATACTAGTTAAGGGGAAAGTTCTGGAACATGAAAAACTGCTCAATACCTTAAGCTAGGAAATTAAATATAGGGGGAATATACTAACTAATATACTTCAGGTAAAATGAAGCATGGCTGTTTTAAGCAAATTATATCAGAAATGGAATTGATTAGGTGGGAAATAGTGTAAGAGACTAATGCTAAGAGACTATGGAGCTATATGGAGAAAGGTGTTGAAAAATATCATATTAAGGTGGGAGAATATCATATTAAGGCTGTGAATGAGGTTGTAGACCTTGATGTAGAAGACAATGCCAAGAAAGCATGGTGGCAATAAGGAAGCGTGGGTTGATGAAGAATCTCTGGCATGATACAAGGTATAGATAAGATGAAGACCATCTGGTAATATTGCACAAGGAATCTGGAGTAAATCATATAAATAGCCTATTTTAAGTCCATGAGACTCACACTTCACAGGACAATGAACATCACTGGATTCAGAACATATCATATAACTCCTGGCTTGGTCAGAATCTTGCCTGCTAGGTGGCAGTCAACCAGTCTAAGAAGGCATGTAATCTATCAACTATTTGTTTAATGAGTTCAGTTTCTAGAATAGGATGTGTGTGTTGAAGTTGTTTACTGCATATGAAAGCTGGATTAACAAATTTACGAATGAATAAAACATTGAAAAAGCATTCTGAATCTGTCTTCTCTTGGGTCTATAAAAGGAATGCTGGTGGTGACTGAGAGCTGTATAAAATCTCTTTTTCATACATTCAGATACTCCAATAGTGAAAAAATGATAATCAATAACTCAATTGAATAATACATAGGTCATCATTGCATGCCTCTTCAATGCAGTTGGCTTAGCAGGCCATCCTCCACTCTCCACCACAATGTGTATACAATTATGCCTATGGGTCTCCCCACATCCCATTCTAACCCACAATAACTCAGCAATTGTGTCCAATTTACAGTAAAAGGTACCAATGCCTGTGAAAGTCATTGAAGTAGCCAACGGAGGAAACGAAAAAGGAATAAGTACCCCTTCTGTTGGACAAATGAGAAAGCAGAACTTGAGAACTGCTGCCTCACCCATAGAAGGTGACCACTCAGATCTCCCCCGGTCATAATCATTAAATGGTTTTTCTTTTGTTTATTAACCAATTAATATGAATCCTGTGAAGCGTCTAGAACATATTGAATAATGCAATACTACAGTACATAACACAATAATAACATGTACACCTGAAGAAGGGCTGAGGTGAGTTTATCAGATGGGGAGGCCAGTGCACATCATGCTGCCCCTAGTTTCCTTGACCTAAAAATAAAAATAAAAATCAAGTAACTTAAACTGCAAAAACAATTGTGCAGGGTGTGGGTGCTTTCCAGCGTTTCTCTTGGTTGGACAGATGTTGTGGTTGTGTTCAAGGTGCCATTAGCTCCTGGCTCTCCAGTAGCACCTTTTCTCCTTGAGGTCAAGGTTTCAGACCTTGAAAGGCTATGAGAGGTTGCTGGATTAAGCCTTCAGGACAGTATAGCTGTGTCCCACTCCCATAAGGATAGCTCCATTGGCGTAAGGAAAAGGAGGGCGTCAGGGACAGAGGGCATCACTTTGAGTAAGAGGGAAACATTCCCTTAGGATGGGCCAATTCCTTGGGGAATGAACAGCTATTCTCTTGTGCCATGGGTAGTTCTCCAAGGGGTGTAGGGCTTCTAGTAGTGGGTGATTTGCTCATTAAGAACATAGATAGTTGTGTATGCGATGAAAAGCCAGGAACTCCAAGATGTACAGGGTACAGATAACCAGGCACAGCTTTGTAGGCATGGATGAGACAATCTACTGGACATTTGAAACATGCCAGAGTGTGTGCAAAGTAGTCCACACAGATGGAAACACTGAAGAGACACAAAAATATATTTGCATGATTTAATAACAAAACTCCTCTAACATACATCTTATTTAGTGTCTATAATCATCACCCACCCACCCACCCACCAGGGGGCAAAGTAAAATACATACTACACATTATATATCATTGACAATTGCTGACGCAGCTAATTACAGTGACTTATCAGCACCTACTACACTGCTACACAGCTGTAAAACTAGGTCAGGATATGCACCTTGGCTTTTAAAGGGGTCCACACACTGTGGAAAAATAATGAACCCTAACGTTTAAACAACATTTCCCCTGTGGTTCATAACTGTGGAACAGAAACGTAAAGGATATTCTGTACATATCTTTCATGTGTGACCTTCAGAGTGCCTTAGTAAAAATGTCAGCAATTTGGTTGTCACCTGAAACATACTGAAAAGCGATTATTTTGTCAGCAATTGGCTTATTTGCAAATTGCAAACATAATCTCAAAACTCTAGTGCGTTGCGTATTAGTTTCTGAAGACAGAAGAGCGAGTCCACTTTGGGAATCGAGGTAGACATTGACTGGTAGTGTTACTTGTATCTGTAGATCTGCAAATACTTGTAGGTACCATTCTACATTGCAAATAGCCTGAGTGCATGCGCATAATTCACTCTCCATCGTGGAGAGACATATAATGGTTTGTTTCTGGGACTTCCATTCAAATGGACACCCGTTATAGCAGAAAACCATACCAGACACACCCCTGTAATTATTTTGTTTTACTGCATGAGATGCATAGCAAAAAATTTCAAAACCTGAATTGACACTTGATATGGAAATGATTGCCTCCACACCCAGCACATTCTGATTTGTCCTTGTACCTCTTTTTGAACTTCCTGCGCTCCTGCTTCGTCTGGTATACGTCATTGTCTTTGCTGGGGATGCTTCATTACTGCTAGCCTCCTCATGGTGCACTGGGATTAGCTTCTTATCAGGATGCAGGCTGCTGTCCTTGAGAATCTCCTGGGCGAAGAGTTCAGCAGCTTTTGAGGCCACAGCCTCCTCAATGGTCTTCTGCAGTGTGAGTTCTGGCTTCGAGAGAAGACGCCGTTGTGTAGCCTTATTGGAATTCACCGATTGGGTCTGCGTTGCTCTGGGACAGGAGGAAGGTAGTCAAATGACACCTGAGGTTGATTCAAAGAAAGAGTTTATTCTGCTCTCCGGATAGCAGAAGGCACTTGCGTGATCAAGTCCACAGCAAGTCCAAAGAAATGACAAGTTTCATGCAGTATTTATATCCTCCAGACACCCTCTCCCCCTTCCCCAGCCACGTCAACTTGTATACGCAGGTTGACTTCACATATGTTCCTGCTCTGGTACTCTCAACCATAAAAGGATCTTCCTTCCTGTACTTCTGACCATAAAAGGATCTTCCTCTTCCTACTCTTATCTGGGAAGACGTAATCATCTCCGGGAACACGCTCTGGCGTTTGTTCCCGTACCTGGGTTTGTGTGTCAGAGTGTGTTCAGGACGTAAGATAAAGCACACACGCATCATCCCTGCTGTACTGGAACTTGGCAAGCTCACTCATTGCCGCCACGGACTGATAAGGGAGAGAGCTCTGTTTTTGTTATGGATTTACTCAACGGCTTGAGTTTATGCATTTTAGCTAAGGAAAAATAGGGATTTTAGTGCAATTTAAAACTGCCTGCACAGTCAGTTTTTGGGTTTTGGAAACCCATTCCTTCATTCCCTACTCTTCTTTTGGACAGCCTTTCGGCTCGTCCCAAGGTACTGGCCGGTATTCTCGTGTCAGTGCTATAATCTGGGGCCGAATCATTCGTAACATCATTTTATGCATCATATTTTGCAAGCATTACGTTAAGCAGGGTATACAGGAGCAGAAAAGAAGCAAGATTAGTCCATTAACATCATTACAAGTCCTCTAAGCCAGTGTTTCCCAACCTTGGGCCTCCAGCTGTTTTTGGACTACAACTCCCATCATCCCTAGCTAGCAAGACCAGTGGTCAGGGATGATGGGAATTGTAGTTCAAAAACAGCTGGAGGCCCAAGGTTGGTAAACACTGCTCTAAGCCACCCAAGGTTCAGAAGCCACTGAGTCAACCAAGATATGTCCCATCCGTTCCAGGTTGGGACAGGAACATGGGCTACTTTCTCTCTTTCTGTTGCCAGGTGTCGAATAGCTATACCATGGTCAGAGCCATGGTCAGAGATGTTAAAGCCACAGGCTCCTTCTGTCAAATTTAATGCAGCCCAAAATCCGGCGGAAGCCAAAATCGGGGCCGTAACTGAGGACTCATTCCAAGGCACAAGGAGGAGGGGTACTCCTCCCAAAGCATCTGTAGGTCCCAGAGTGCAAGAGGTTCCGGGTGCAGACTGTGCAATTGGTTCGGTTTTGCAGAATAGGCTTCCATTTCTGCGTGTTGCGGGCACCCCATTCTCTCATTAGCCGCTGGGTTACCTTAAGTGGTGTGGGCACGGCGATGGCCAGAAATCAGAAGACTACCATCCCGGCTAAAACCATGTCCCCCCACAGCCCTACCTGCATCATTTGGGCACAGGGATCTATTTCTTTCCTAATACCTTCTTCTTCTAATACCGAGGGTACCTCCCACAAAGCTATATACAAAGCTACATATTCAAAGGAAAGAAAAGAAAATGTCCTCTTTAGTCCACGCTGGATTTTTCTTGTGCCGTGCGTAGAGATGCCAGCTTCCAGGGGTGGCACCAGCAGGGCAGTCGTCTGGTGGGCGCTGAGCCGATGCGGTGAGGAGAAGCGTGAGGCGGCGTCTGTAGGGCACCGAGAGATGGTGAGTCGAAGGGCTTGGTGTAGATCAATTGTAGCAGTCCAATCTCATACTGCCTGGGGTTTGCTTCATCCTTCAAATCAGGCCTGCTGGAATATATGCAGTCAGGTGTTGGAGGCCCATTCTCTCCCATAGGTGGTGGCGTAACCGGGTTAAGAACCTCAGTAACTTGAAGCTGCAACTGCGGGTGCAGGAGCAGTGCTTGGCAAAGGGAGATAGAAAAATAAGTTCCTTTCATGTCCAACAATGCTGGCCCAGCGTGAGGAGTGATGCACGTGGTTTCCTGTCCAAAGGTGAACTTGTCAGCTTTTGTAATCAGAGTGGCAGCAGTCACTGCTGTTTGCATGCAGGGAGGCAAACTTTGTTTCGTAGTGGTTAATCGGCTATGGGTTGGTCATCATCAGGGTCTAACAATTACCTTGATAAAATTACCTTGATAAAAACATATTTCGCCATGTGCAAATGGCTCTGGGTACCTACTAGGTCCACAAATCACCATATAGCATATATTCAATACACACCCAAAAAATGACAATTTGAGCCCAACAAAGGACTGCTGGACATCCAAATGGCCCCATTACCCCATTAATGCCTTCTGTTTCTTCAGCCAATTCCCATCCCTGTACTCTGCTGCCCTCAGGACCAAAGGCGCTATGCCCACTTTATCACTATATGATCTTATATACTGAAACACCCTTTTGTACTGTCATTTTGTCCACTTCACCTCTTTTTCTTAGGTCCTTTCTAAATTCTTCAGTCCCAACATCATCATTATTATTTTTTCCCCTTCCTTCTCTCTCTCTCTCTCTCTCTCTCTCTCTCTCTCTCTCTTGACACTGACACAAAGATGAAGTACGTTAACAAGGTAACACAGGTGATGATCTGGCATCTGAAATCATTCACACAAACAGAAAGCTTAAAAACACATAAAAAACATGTACCAGATGCTGGCTCTTCTCGAGGGTTAAATGTGATTGTAGAATACACACACACAAATTGCAAGCAGAGATTAAATCACAAAAGAATGAGATCCTCTTGGAAGGTAGCATATTACCGTGATTCTCCTACCTTTGCCTTTTAAGATATGCTTCTATCTTAAACTCTTTCTGCAGAATATTTACTGCGAAAGGGTGTTCTGTTGGGCTGCATTTGAAAGTTGATTGACCGTCCTTCCCAGTTTTCCCTATTATTATCTATTATTTATCTGCAAATGATTTAATCTTGATATACTTATTCCCGTACTTAATGGACTTGGGACAGTGGTTCAGTTATAATTATGGTACAACAATAAGTTAAGTGCTACCTGCTGTATGGCTGAATTTTCTTATAAGAAAACATCTGTTGACAGTCAGAAAGGGTATTCCTATTAAACAGGAGGAATAAGCAACTCATGCTGACTAAATATAAACTCATTTCTGCATCTGTATATATCACACACAGAAGGAGACAGAGTGCAACTCAACTTTTTTTGCATATCTATTTAATTCAATCCTATGCAGAGCAGATGGGGGGGTTGAGGACTTTGATTGTACATTTGTGTTCTTCCCCTTCCTTCCTTCCTTCCTTCCTTCCTTCCTTCCTTTTTTTTTTTGATGGAATCCTTTCTGATTCCTCCTGCATTTTTGGTCCTGCTTGCATATGCTACAGAGAATGTAAACAAATCTTACACTACAGAAAAGCTCTGTAGCTTTTGTGTATCACTGTAGCTTTGTGTACACTGTATCTTAAGTGTATTCTGCTGAAGGACAAAGCTTGCTTGGTGTTATTTGCTTTATGAATTAAGGTCCCAGTCTCCCAATACACACATTTGCTATTTCACCCCAACACTCTTCCTACATGGATTCACACACACACAAAATTCTTATCAAGTAGTTACAGGGATATTAAACTGGAGTGTGCCTGAATTTGCGTCAGTGTAACCATGTTTGATAATAATAAAATACTGCACATTTATGTAATTCAGACATACAAATTATAATGCACTTTTACCTTCAGTTGGGCCAGTGTTCACAACATTCTGTTTTACTTAGCATTTTGGTTTGAAAACCCAAGTTCCACTTTCTCTGCACTTCCTGCAAGATTGTATATTATTAAACAATAAAAGGCACAATTTTCCAAGAGAACATATGTCTTGGAATTGCATATAATCCCCACCAGGCGTCAGAAACTGGCAGATATTACTCAGAAATTTCAAAATTAATGCCCAGATAATTCATATCTTTCCCCCCTGGGTGGTCGCAAATATAAACTTGAAAGTCTTTTGATACATTCATATAAAAGTTCATTTACACCTTACATACTTCAGATAGAAATGGTTCTGGAAAATGCAGTTACAATCAGAACACAAAATTCTTCCTCTTCCAATTATTCACCATGGTTCATTGTACATACTTTCTCCATTTACCTTAATACATCAATTTGCATGCAAACATTAAAAATCACTTTTCCTTCAAAGGAACCATACATAAGGTAACTTTGTTCAATATTGCCTTTCACCCAAGAGAAACCTAGGAGGAATCACCTACTGGGTAACTGTGTCAATAAGCCTTGAGGTATTTGTCTATCAACATCTTAATTCTGCTGTCACTAATGCATTTGACAACTTTGGAGGGTCAATCAACCCAAAGAGCTTCAATCCAAAGATACCTCCTTGGACATCTATTAATTGAAAATTGAGATGGCTTTGAGTGTACATGCCAGGAGAGGTCTTAGGCAAAATAATTTTTATTTCCCTGTTCACATTAGTCTGTGGAAAGTGTTCCAGAACAAACATCTTATATGAGAAAGGGAGATCTTTCGGACTTCCGGGGTGGCGCCTCCGGAAAATGGCGGAATTCCCTTCGGACTGAAGGGAACCCGCTGCACGGAGGCTTGGGTCCTGCCGCTACGGCGCAGCGGGGACCCGCAAAAACCACAGGCGGAAGAAGCCTGTGGACGTGGGACTCGGCGGGCACCGAGAGCGCTCGCTCCCCTTGTACAGGAGCCCGTTACCGGGCTCCTGTACAAGGGGAGGTGCGTGGTGCTGTGAGTCGTCTGCTTCCTCCGTGCAGCAAAGCCGCACTGCCGTTATCGGAGAGCGCTGCCTTTTTCCTGGACAATTTGGCATCTAAAATATCTATCCGTGAGTACCTGATCTTGGAAGAGTTGAACCACTTTTAAGACTGGTGAATAAACAAATAATATTGGACTTGAAATTGAACTTAATTGGGACTCGGAATGGGAAGGTCTAAACAGGAAGTCGCCTTCCGTTCTTTTGTTATGTGAAGAAAGCAAAGACAAAATATACTAAAGCTTGAAAATTAAATTCTAAGAGAACTAGAATTCAACATCTAAGATTTCTGAACCCCCTTTGACTGCAGGAGAAGAAGGGGTTGTATTTGGACTTTTCAATCCTGCGGAAGTGAGTTTAAAATAAAGCAATTTTCCACCGCCCTGAACCAGGAGCGGGCTGTCAGAATTGACGTTCTGAAGTTTATCCAGCTCGACAGTTAGTTAAAAGAAGGGTAACATTTTGATTCTACTGTTGCCTCTTGAATTTGGAAGGGGAATTTTGGATAAAGTGTTTCTGGAAAAGAAAGATTGTTGCTGTTGCTTTTATTCCTTTAAAAAGAAAAATTCCATCTAGTGGAATTTAGTGAAATTGCAACGCAGAGAGATTAAAAGAGAAGGACTATTGGACTATTCTCGTGGGAAAGAATTTTCTTTGACCTTGAAGGACAATGCTAGTACAAAGGCTTGAACAATTGTTCCTGGAAGGTTTTTCAAAACTAAGTGCCCAGCTGGACCAGATGCGTCAGGAGACGACCTTGATGATGGAAGTTACCAGAGCACAGCAGCAAACAAATGAAATTCAGTTAAAGGCTATACAAGCATATGAACCTGCTGTAGTGACGGAGGCTTCAGAGATGGAGGGACCTTTGGACGGGCAAGATCAGCCTTTGAACTTGATAAATGAACTTGGGACAAACCAGATTCGGAAAGATGAAATGTGGTCAGATTTGGAAATGGGGGATGGATCGACCCCCTCCATATGGTTATTTGGACCTTCCGAGTCTGGTGATGGGCTATCAGAGGATTGGAGTAGCCGAAGTCTCCAAGCTTTGTGGAAATTTGAAGTGGTATTATTTGCTGTCTGGCTTGGGCAATGGGTTTGGGATGGACTTGCTGCAAAGGGTCAAAAGCATTTTCTTGCTGGAGCATCCACGACTGGAAAGGAATCATCAACAAGAGTGGCGAAAGGGGCAAGAAAGAGACTTGAGGGCCTCGGATACGAGACAACCAGGTTAAGGAGCCGGATTATCGAGGTTAAAAGGACTGACAATCCCGGGTCCAGGGGAGGGGAGGTTGGAAGCTGACTGGACTGAATTTGACTTATTATTTTTTCTTTTTATTTTTAATATTGGGAATGCTTACAAATGTTTGAAGGATGTTGAATGAAATTACATGGCTTAAGTAAGGATTGGTAAATGATTCAGTAAAAGGTAATGATGTAAGAATTTGGTAAATATTGAATATAAGCTATGAGTTTTAAAGTTTTTATATGACAAGAGGGAAAATAGAATAAGGAAACGTAATGACAGATTGTTATGAAAAACAGAAAGGATTTGCTGTAAAAATTAAAAATTAAGAAACAAAAGAGGGGAGGAGGAGGAAGTCTAGAAAGGAAGTCAATAGAGATTGTAAAGGACTTTATATTTTTGTTTTTCTGTTTCTCTTTTTTTTTTCTTTGCGGCTGGGTTTTCTTTTCTTTTTTGTTTATGTACTATTTTTGTTTTTTGTATCCTTAAATTTTTTTTGGAAATTTTTGTTGTTATTTTTTGAAAATTCAATAAATATCAATTATAAAATAAAAAAAAGAGAAAGGGAGATCTTTCATGGGAGGGAAATACTAAAAAAGCACAAACAACATTCCAGGTCCCTATTCTTGCTGTTAATTTATGGATGGTTAGCTGTCCAGCCAGCCAAAAAGAGGGCTGTTCCATAATATATTATATTCTTAGTTCTTAATTCAGAATTCTTTAAAAGTTGGTTTTTACTCATGAAAACCTCAACCAATAATCTGAGTGCATTTTAACAGCGCATGCAAGACTTTGACTAAGTGTGTCGCTGGTCACACACAGCCTTTATGCAATTCAGCTTTTACTATATTTAGTAAACTCTCTCTCAATAATAGCATCTTAATATATTACTTTCTTAACATATTACTTTCATAGCAACAGATGGTTGTTCCTCAGTGGTCTTCTGCAGTGTGAGGTCTGGCTTGGCAAGAAGACGCCGTTGCAGACGGTTGTTCCAAACCCTGCAGACAATTTGATTTGAGTTCTAAGTCTCAGAACTCACAGTGCA